AGAAAATTTAAATACAAAAAATATATACCGTAAAATCCTGCGTATAACGCCCACCTACACTTTCACGCAGATTGTTGTAATTTTTAGGTATATTCGCGGTATAAAGCTCCCCCCTTTTTTACGAAGAAATCTGAAATATTTGTATACATTGCTATTATGTTTTAGTCATTTATTCAAGGTATTATACCAAACTTTTGAAAAAAAATAGAATACATCTAAAACTGCAACTTATAGTAACTGGTGTTGATGGATGAATGAAGACAGATGAGCTAAGATATGTTATTACTCTTTCAACGAGAACATCGTTGGGAGTAGTGTATTTTGTTCAATTTGACATAGAAATAATTCAAGTCGAAATTTTTAAGTTCAGATTAGTAGTCTTTTATCCTTTTATGTCTGGCAATGAAAAAAAAATCATATGATGGATTTAAAGAGTTGCCTTAGAACTGTAGAGCCATCTAGGGAAATAAAAATTAAAAACGGAGTGAGCGGAATAAAGGCGTACAATATTTTCACCTTCTGAAATGGATGTAAATTATTTCATTTTTAATATATTTTAATAAACAGTGTTTCGATACGTGTAGAAGTAAATTTGCTTTTATGCTCATCTCTTTTGTTATTTTTAAAGCTGTCGTTTTTATACCCGGCGTATAACGCGCACCCTTAAGTTTCAATCTTATTTTTTGTGTTCAAAGGCCGGATTTTACGGTATATAGTTTGCAAACAGTATGGCATGAAGACAAAGTTAATAAATTTGCAAGCAGTTTGAGGGTTTACAGGGGTGTTAAATTAGTGGAAACTGTCATTCCTGGCAGACAAATGGGCCCTTACCCGGTTAGGCATGAAATCGAACTGTGGTTGAATATCAGAAACGGGCAACTCATTCCATGTTGCTTCCAGTCTATGCCACACATCATCAGCCGTATTAGCTGGAGAATGGTTGCACGCCAGTTTCTAAGGAACTCAAAGTCAGATGCTTTAAATGGGCGACAGATTTGGAGATCACGTAGGCTTGTGCAAAATGGAATCCCAGTGCATCGAGGGCGGTCAGAACAAGACATGGAACAATGGGCTTGCTCTATCTTGTTGGTAGAAGTCGTTAGGCAGGCATTGAAGATAGGGTGCAACCATTGGATGTAAGGAGTCAGAAGCATACCAATCTGCGTTCAAACTACCATCAATCCGAACTAGAGATGTATGAGTCGTTTACCTAATGTTTGTCAAGCTGTCATAACAAGTTCCGGATACCTATGCTGATATAGAATGCATACAGGCTACGAGCGGTCTCTTCCAGAGCTTCCAGACACGTATACGGCCATCAAAATTTTGCACGAGGAACCGAAATCGTCCGAAAAGACTACATTGGGCTACTCCTGTATCGTTCGGTGCACCAGAGTCAACATCCCTCTCTATGCTGTTTTGTTAAAGGAAGTTGCAGTAATGGCTGCCGTACTGGCAGTTCACGCTTCTGGAAACGTCGTTGCACCGTACGAGCGAATACTGAGCGTGCTGCAAACATACCATTTTCCTGACTAATGCTACGTTATACGGTTGTACACTTTTTATAGCTGACCTCAAAATATGTCTGTCTCCTCGGGTGTTACTCAAGGTAGGACGTAGAGATCCTGCATGATATTCTGTATGACCCTCTGCAACCCATTAATTCCATATTCGCATGACAAAAGTTGAATTTCAATCAGTGCGATGGGCAATATCACTGAACGATGCTCCGGTGCCATATTCTCGTTAGGACACGATCCTGCCACTATCGAATTTCTGTACTTGCTGATAAGCATTTCTTCTTATTCGAGGTATAACAAGATATTCTGACCAAACTTTGACCTTATAAAGCAATTTTCAATTGAGAAATCCGCTACACAACTTTTCTTTTATGCAGTGCTTCAGATGTCGTTTCTCCCTCTTGATGCACTGAAATTCTAATCATTTGTATATCCTCATAATAAATTGCATATTCCAACCTCTTCTACTTTTCCTGTGATTTTGTCATTCGTCAGTTCATTCTTTCCGGGCGTTGCCATTTGAATGGTCAGCAGTGTCCTTAGCTGCTTTGAGTCTTCATACAAAACCAATATACACTTAAAAGTGTGTTGACTCTTCCTAGTAAAAGTTCAAATATAGAAAATAAATTTTCCCAAAAATAGATCGAAAATTGCTTTCAAAAGCACTGAGGGTGAAAACAGACTAGAAAAAACAAATTAAGAGATTGACCCACGCCTTGCACAATCATTAAAACAGGTTTTCTATCTTATCGTGTATACTGCACAATAACTTCAAAAACAAAAATTCCCAAGACTGGAAATCGCATGACAACCGAAAAAAAAAAAGAATATACATTTTTTTAAAACTATTTATGACTTTTTTTAAAATATTTATTTATATTATGCTTTAATTCTTAAAAAGATACAAGTTAGGAGGCAATAGTATTTTGACAGTCAAAGGTGTAGTCCTTTGAGAGAGGTAGTCACTATGCACAATCCTTACAAAACCCTTCTTATTTAGTATTTCTTCTATATGTTAACATTTGCTTATACTTTTATTTATTTATTAATATTTCCTCAGCCTATGTGCTTTCAAAACCATTATCATTTTATACACATTAAAAGTTGTTCCTTTTAATATCAAATAAATTGTATCATTGTAATAGAATAAATCTTATCATAATAAAAATTCTTAAAACCACATTAAATATATCAAATAGTGTCAACATAAAATTCTCAAAAAATATCAAAACATTGGTATTAATTATGAGCAATGCATTTTCTTTTGAATGCAAATATAGTATTGAGTAAATTAACCTAAAAATATAAATTCAAGATCTCTGGAAACGTTTTTAAAATGTTAATTTTATAATAAGAGCATATTCTCAATAATAGGTGAATTTTCAAGTTTGATTGCCCAATAGATAAATTTAAATATAATTCAAAAATAAAAATAATTAGTTACACATATATTGAAAAACAGAATATACCATAAAACAGTAAAACAGTACAATGGTGGTAGGGACCAAAATATAAACTTCAAATTATTTAAACCATAATTTTTTATCAATATCATTTTTGAATCAAAATGGATTATATGAGATAGCATTTTAAACTTTAAATTTATTTGCAAATTATCATCAGCGATATTAATAATAATATATTTCTAAGACATTTTAAAATAAATCATTCAAAAACCACAATGTGAAAATATACACTCAAATATTTAAAGAGACGTGGCGAGTGGATGTTATTACTGTAGCGAATCAAAGGATAGGACGTGGCCGGTGGTGTGATTTTCCTGTGTTATATGGCGAGTGGTCGAGTTCTGCATTATCGAAGAGGCACTCATGCAAATCAATAATCTAGTTTATTCACATCTGGAAACACATAGAGGTCAAATAAGGGTGACATTACACATAACAAAAAGCAAACATCATGGCCCAAACACAGACAAAAACAAACACAGAACGCGCGACAACCGGCTCATTACATGATGAAGGCAAACAGACAAAAGAGGGCGATTACATAAGATTTTTGCTTTTATGCCAGCAGTGCAAGCGCGTGAGTATTACGTAATAGCAGTTCTGATTGGATAGAATGGGTGGGACAGGGATTTTTTTCGGACAAGCCGTTTACGGTTAAGATTACAGTGTTATTTTTATACCAAAGAAGTAAGGTTTGTTTAAATATTAGCACAAAGAGTTAACAAAAAGGATACTAGAGGGAATTAATACATATATATATATATATACAGTCCAGTCATATTAATGTGACCACTGTAAAAAGCCAGAATAACCATCTTTCGCAGAGGGGGAAATAGTCATTTAGGATCCTCAAGGTATTCACTAGGATGTTGAGCCATGCCGACTCTATTGCTGCACTAGATTACGCGCGTGACGATCCATGACGCGAACAACCCGATCGAGAGGGTTCCATAGATTATTGATTGGGCTTAAGTCAGGTGAGTTTTCTGGACACGGAAGGACGATAAACTGATCCTGGTGCTCTTTGAACCACGCACGTGCGCTGTCAGTTGTATGACACTCCGCAATGTCCTGCTGGTAGATGCCACCATCCTGAGGAAAAACAATGCACATAAAGGGGTAGACATGGTCTGAGAGGACAGATGCGTACTTCTATTGATCCATCGTGCTTTCCACAATGATGAATAAACACAGAAAATTTAAGGAAAACATTCCCCAGACCATAATGCTCCCGCCTCCAGCCTGAACCTTGCCAGTAATTGTTGCAGGGCGTTTGCTTTTAGACGTTTCATGCCGTATTTGCCACCAACCATCCGTCCGATGGAGTATAAAGCGTGATTAATCAGAAAACTCTACCTGTCGCCTCTCATTGGATGCCCAGTTGCGGTACCTGTATGAAAATTCCAGTCTTCTTTGCTGATCAGAAGCAGTCAGCATAGGTGCATGAACTAGGCGCCTGCTTCGGCGCCTGCACTCTTTATATACGCTCAATAGCACTGCGATGCCAGCATCCTTCTGTGATTGGTTATTTAACGTCAAAGTCGAAGTACGTGGTGGTCACATTAATGTGACTGGACTGTATATATATATATATATGTATAAGTCAGTGATCGACAAAGTGTTTTAGGAAATGGGTAACATAAAAACACATATTTATTATAATTTTTTATGAAGAAATATAATTTATTATAAAATGCAATAAAAACAAAAGCAAGTAATATGAAGAAAAATGAAGTGAATTCCTTTTTAGGTCAAAAAAAAAAAAAGCAAATCTTTTTATTTTAGTTATTTTTTCAAGAGTTACAATTAATATAAATATGTATATACATATGACAGAATCACAATATTAAGTGGAAAATTAGAAAGTGATTTCCCTTGTAATTTTCGACTTTTTATTCTATATAGGGTGTTGGACTATTTTTCGTTTGTTGTTGTTACTATTTATTCATCAATTACATTTATTTAATCTAATGAAATAGCATAGTAAAAAGTAATTACATTCTTATAAACTAGGCCATCCAGGTGAGATTTGAACCCACGACCTTTGGATTAACAGTCCAACGCACTATCCATTGCGCCACAGGATTTTCCTTTCTTTATATGCTGTTGGATTATAATTTTTGTCCGTTACTATTTATTCATTTTCAATGTAATAATTGAATTAATATTTGAGAAAAATTAACATCAAGTGTCATCCACCACAAGTTTAAAAAAATTTATTTGAACTTGAATGGATGAATAGAAAGTATTTTATTAATGATTGCAAATTTGAACAAGATATGTATATTTATATGTATACATAAATAGATATATATATAGAGAGAGAGAGAGAGTGAACTAATAGTTGGAATTGAAAAAAATAACATATTTTTAAAATTCCTTAATTTTGTTAAGATAGACGAAGCTGTCCCTGAAAATATAAATTCAGTATTTCGACAGTAAAAGTTGCTGAGTGTTGTTTTAGCCGTGGTTATAGTAGCCTGCCAGTAAAGTGACATCGCAGAGTGTTCAGGGATGATCCCCACTTCAGTCTTTGCGCATAACACCATTGGAATTTTATGAGAAAGAATTGGTACTCATGGATTCAATCAAACTTTGCTTTAAATGCTTTATTTTTGCTCACAGACTTTGAAAGACATTGCCCCTGGTATTGAGCGTTGTGTCTTACGACAGCAGGTCACATCCAATCCTCTTGGATACAACCTTAATATATCAAGGAAAGATTAATGAAATCCTGGATCTGATTGCTTTTAACCGTATGCCAAAATACTATGGTCAATAAAGCAAAGCCCTACATAACTCGCATATTTCTGGTCGGCCTCCATGCTTTTTATGTCCTTCTTTGGGCAGCAAATGTACCAGATCATTAGATAATTAAAATGTATTGGACATGGCATATACAATTAGATTCGGGCATTCCAAAATGTTGTAGATATGAAGCAACATTTGGCTTCTAAGTTTACTGTTCTTCTTAGAGCTTTAGCAAAGGAAATACACACACACACACACACACACACACACACACACACACACACACACACACACACACACACACACACACACACACACACACACACACACACACACACACACACACACACACACACACACACACACACACACACACACACACACACACACACACACACACACACACACACACACACATATATATATATATATATATATATATATATAATAAGCGTGCGGAACATGAAAATTTTGAAAAGTGGTAACAAAACCGAATAAAAAATGATTTATATGATCATTTCTGTTAGTTTATAGAGAGCACAAAAAAGTTTTAACACAGAGTTACTGATTTTAATTTTTTAATTGAGAATATTTATAAGCATTGTTTCAATTTTAAGTGGGTCACTACACGAAATGATTAATTCTTCATTTTCTTACTTAAATACTTTCTCCAGCAAAATTAAAAGTTTTTCATACTTTTTTAAATAAAAACTGTTTGAATTTCTAAGAAGTCTGATACACATTTTGACCTTAAATCTATTTGCTTAAAAGTCTATAAAATTCAACACCCAAACCAAATATTTAAAAAGCTTTTTTTTAACTTGCAGCTTTGAAACTTTTCATGTACATTAATAATATAATACTTGTGATATTTTTTTGAAAATATGAATCGAAAAAAATGCATGGTTTAAAATATACATTAATTAAAATTATGTTCACATATCATAAAACTTATAAAATAAAATATATCAATGAATAAATTTTCAAACAATATGTTCTTATTAAAATAATAAAAATAGTACACAATAAGTGTGCACTAAAAACCAAACAACCAATCGGTTTTTATAAAATGTCCGTTAAATTTAATTTTAGACATAAGGGGAAAAGACCGCTTACAGTGACCCTCTTAAAGCATTATCCTCATATTTACTTCAAGTTTTACTAAAACACATATCATACAGATTAACTAAATTCTTTGTTGATTTAAAATAAGCAATCCATACGTGAATGAAGTCCCCAAAGCCGACAAAAGAAAACTCTTCTTGAAATATAAGACGCCACCCGCCGATATGTAAATGACATCTTTATTTGCTATTCTTTCAAGAAAGCTCACGCATTTCGTGTTTTCAAGATCACTCAGCACGCAATCGTCTATCAACCTCACAGCTGTCTTTTTTATTTTCAGCATGTTTTCAGGAATTGCAGAGCAATACATGGTAACGGAAGAGATGATAATCATACTCTCTGGTGAAACCATTGACGCATAATTCATATAATAAAAAACGAGGGATTACGTTTGTCAAGCAATATGACAAGATGGTAAACAGATTACAGAAGAAATTAATAGGATAACAAACAACGATGTTGATAAAGTATCAGATAAAAGGTGAATTTTCATTGAGAATATTTGATAATTTTGCCGAGAGAGTAATGGCATTCTTTTCTTTTAAATCGTTGTTAAGCTGAAAGAGATAAAGTTCATAAATATGCACCACGGCACACATAGAGGTTGCGAATAGCAATGGATATTCCATATACACAGTAAAAAGCATGTATTCTAGCATTAGAGTTACGGTGACTCCGCAAGGATTATTTTGAGGGCGATATTCCAAAACCTTAAATGTTTTTCGATGTTTCTACCGCTTTCCACAAAAGTATTGATTGCCGACAACAATACTGGTATAATGCACACAATGAAAAGAGCCAGCTTCGTAACAAGTATGTTTTTTCTCGCATTTTATTTGCTTGAATATTTTTAGGGAATTCCAAATTACACAAAATAACTTGTAAATTTCTTCTTTGATAAAACATCGAAAACCACAAAATAAAACACAAAATATTTAACAAAAGGAAAGCAAGCCGTAACTTTGTGACATTAAACTGAGGCAAGAAAAGTATACCAATAATAAATATAAAAATAACCGAAAGAAAAAACACTGTTATCAGAAAACAGGAGAAGCATTTCAAGAAATATCTGACGAATTTTCTACTTTTTGAGAAGCAAATATTAGTTATAATCCACATCGGCACATTTATCAAATTGAATTCTATTGATTTTATCTTCATTCTAGATTACAGCTAGAGATCTAGATTACTAGATTCATTCTAGTTCCAAACGTTATTTTTGATATATTCAATGCCTCAATCACTTTTTATTTAATAAATTTAAAATTTATTTAATTCAAACAAATTGACTTAATCTCCTTCTGTTTTGTTCAAGACGTACTGTAATACTGATCTGAACTGTAAAATAAGAGAAATATTCCCACAGATCTTAGAATTTGTTTTCATTTGGAGAACAAGTCTCCAGAGCAACAATAAAATAGAAAAACAATTTTAAGCTGAAAATAAAATATCGTTACACTCAAATTAAGTTAACAATTTGAAAGAAATATTTTTGGAAAAATTTCCTCAGATAACTTTTTAAATATTTGAATGTCATTTGCAGTTCCAATTTGTGACATCAATTGCTACGTGATTAGTCATGAATAATGCATAGAAGACGCTTACAGAATGCTTGATTGCACTAATTACCATGCCAATTTTTGAATATCGGAACAAATGTTCAGACACGAATAGATTGATTATTCTATATTATGCTATTACTCTTTTCGGCATGAAGCATCATCCACTTTTCTGCTTTTGGTACTGTTTTCGGGCTGATATATTTTTGCAAAAATTGGTGGTTTAAATGACTACTTATTTCGCTTACTAGATTTACTGCTGAGTTGAATGATTGCGAAGCTAAGTTCAAGCCAATATTTTAAACATTTTTTATCTTTATTTATGTCATAGAAGTGAAAGCACAAAAAATGCTTTGTAACCGCATAGAGTGATTTTTACGTCACAAAATACAAATACCAAAGATGGAGGTCATAATCATACTTCCAATTAAAAGCGTCATCCATCCAATTTAGTACATGAACTATACGCAAGGATCAATCGAATTTTTAAAAAAAAATATAGGAGAAATATATATCCGTTACACATGGCAATTTTACTTCAACTGACGGAATTCATTTCCTTTTGTTGTGGTTATTGTTGAAAAAATTATCAGATAATCAATATAATCAGTGATCCTGTCACCATTGCATGTGATGCCATGTCGGTATTTCATGCAGAACGGTGTACTGTATACCATGCTCATATTCCAAGCCATATTTCCGATCTTTTTGAACAAAATATTGCAATTTATGATCACTGTTGCGAATGATAAGTCAATATATGATGATATGCGATAAATATATTTACTGTAGCTTTCAATATGCTGATTGTTCCATTTGAAAATTTCTCCTAAAAGCAACAGTTACTTACAATATTTTCCTTAAAATAATTATTGGAAAATATTGAAACCAATGTATTAACACAACTGGAATTCGTTTTAGAATGAATTCTGATTATCTCGGTAATTTGTTTTTTTAAGGTTCTCAAATAACCTGCCTGAAGAATGCACTTATCATTTCTAAACTTCAACTTCACAACTATTACAATGCGTTATTGGGATCAAGAAAGAATGAGCAATATATAATTGTCATTCAAGAAAGGCGCTATACTAATTTTCGGAATAAATATATACGGGTATTTATATCAATAAAAGATATACAAAGGTATGTATACCTTTACTAAAGTTCTTTATTTACTTATTGATTTTCAATGATTTCTAAGGAACCCATTTCCTCTAACATACTTTTCAATTAGATAATTATCTCATTATTTTCTTTGTCTATTTTTACATCCATAAAAATCTTCCTTTGTGATGCATAGGCCGTCAAAATATTCGTATAACAATGGAAATTAAATGAGGCGTTTATTAGACACTAGCATGAATAAGTACTTTATTATATCCAAAAAATACTTAATGTTTCGGCTTCTTATTTCTCAGGGTGTTACATTATTTCTCTCATACACATTTATTGATTTTTTACATCAATTTATTGTTAAATGATATTTAGAGGACTCAAAAATCAATACATGCATTTAAAAGGACAAAAAAAAAAAAAGCCATTAGGATTCCAATTTTTCTGAAGTAATTTATCATATTTAAGTAATCAATATTCACTTTGACAATATTTCTCCCCTTTGACATCATGTGTGAAATATTTTTTTTCGAATTAAA